CACAAAAGCGGTGATTTCAGATAGCAGACGACAGGGAGTAAAAGTCATTGACTTGTTCGATTTGTATGAAAATGGCGGCCGTTTTCTCCCTTAGGCAAGAAAAATGCATGTGAACAGCTAATTTTCTTGCCCTTGGGAGAACACGGCCGCCATTTTCATACGGTCGAAGAAATGAATGACTTTCCTCCCTGTCGTCTGCTATCAGAAAGCGCCGTTTTTGTGCATGTGGGATAAAAAAGATGTTTTCAAAAAAGTCAAAATTTTGAAACTCCGTAACTCCATAAATATTTTATCAAAAGCAATAATAATTCATATTTACACTTCTACTAATAATAGAAACATTTTGATAAAGTTTCGAGAAAATCCATTTTTTAACTTTGACAGTTGAGGAATTTTGCCCCATATTGGGAAAAATTCCAACATTGGGAAATTTAGGTATTGGAAAAATCTTTCTTTGGGAATTATTGGTTGCGGGAAATATGTCCGTCGGGAAGGTTGGAGTGGAAATAATGGATTGGGAAATGTGTCCTAAAATCCGCAAAGGGTTAAACAAATTAATACAATTTTTAAAAAAGGACGTTTATTTTCTTATTCCGTTATTGCACATGATTTAAACCAGTTCAAATTAATCTAATATGACCACCAGATGATTAATAAAACATAACATAATTTATTTAAATTGTTATAAACAATATTAATTAACAACAAAACAATTTTTTAATCGCGTGTAGAAATCACTTAAAACTGCATTTGTTTATAAAAAAATTATTTTAAAATATAAAAAAAAAATTTCAAATTTTTATTTTATTATTCGAAAGTACATTTTCTCACTGATATAACCTTAAATTTTTAATTAATTTATGCAAAAACTCAATTAGTTAAAATTTTTATTAAAAGGGTTCAAAAATCTTTAATTAACAATAAAAAATATAAATAATTTAAATATTTTTAAAATACTCCGTAAAAATATTACTAGATACTATTAATTTTAAATACAAATACTAATTTTAAATTTTGCAACTTTTCGAAAATAGGGGGGGCCATTTCAGGAATTTTTACTCAGTTACTAAAAGTTTCAATTATTTTGATTTAACCTTCACCCAGAAAAAAGATATATTTGACTCAAAGACAACAAGACTTTTTATTTGTTACAAATAAATTTTATTTTATTTAAATAAAAATTTATTTGATTTAAATAAAATTTTATTTGGTTCAAATAAAATTTTTATTAAAAAAGAAGTGTTTACAAATGATGTCACGCAATTTTTCGGGAGTTAAGACCCCCTTTCCCCCTATCATGCAATTTCACATGTAAAAATACATTGTCTCACGTTTAGTAGAGACCCCCCTCCCCCAAAAACGTGACACCATTTAAGAACGCTCCCTAACAAATAAATAACCTAGTTGGCTCTGAGATGTTTATTTAAGGGGACTTTCTGGCTTAGAATTTCAAAAAAATCGATTTTTTTTGCTTAAAAATGTTCCTTAGTATCATAGAATTACTGTCCCAAAACGATTTTTAAAAAATATGTACAAAAACAAAAGTTATAACAATATTTATGACGGTATGTATTTCAACAACAATCTACAGTTATCTTATTTACATATTTGGTGTTCCTCTTTTATTGATATTAGCTTGAAACATGTTACTCGAGGGTTTTTGGGGTCGCTGATTACGAATTTGATGTCAGTTTTTGAAAATACAAAATGGCGGATCCAATATGGCGGACGAAAAAATAAAAATTCAACCGGATTTGCTTAAAACTTGTTACTCGGGGGTTTTTGGGGTCGCTGATTACGAATTTGATGTCTGTTTTTGAAAATACAAAATGGCGGATCTAATATGGCGGACAAAGATTAAGAAATTAATTAAATTTAGTTGAAAATGGTTACTTGTGGCCTTTTGAGATTGCTAGTTATGAATATAGGCACAAAACATTAACGTTCTAGTTTTAAGCAAATCCGGTTGAATTTTTATTTTTTCGTCCGCCATATTAGATCCGCTATTTTGTATTTTCAAAAACTGACATCAAATTCGTAATCAGCGATCCCAAAAACCCCCGAATAACAAGTTTTAAGCAAATCCGGTTGAATTTTTATTTTTTCGTCCGCCATATTGGATCCGCCATTTTGTACTTTCAAAAACTAACATCAAATTCGTAATCAGCGACCCCAAAAACCCCCGAGTAGCAAGTTTTAAGCAAATCCGGTTGAATTTTTATTTTTTCGTCCGCCATATTGGATCCGCCATTTTGGATTTTCCAAAACGGACATCAAATTCGTAATCAGCGACCCCAAAAACAGCGGGATACGAAGTTCTGTTGTAATAAAAAGTTGTTTGATATTCATGACTCAATGAATTATGTTATGAAAACTTTAAACGCGTTTTTCTCGAAAACTCATTTTTCAAACTGGTACAGAGCTTTTCTCGAAATCTACCGAACCGATTTTGAAATCCCAAAAATTTTTCGATTCTTTATTTAAAAAACTGGTGCCTAAACCTCTAAAAACTCATATTTCTACCGCCTGTGTTTTTATATGGAGGTAAATTGACCCAAAAACACGGCGTTTTTGCGAGTTTTTGAGAAAAATGTACATATAAAAAAAAAAACCTTAAAAAAATCGTTTTTGAGGTTTAGGCACAAGAATAAATCCTTATGAAGAGATTCCCGTTTGGAACTTGAATTTATGTATTACAGGTTGCCCGGAATCTAACGTACCAAAAAAAGGTATCTTTTAGAAGACGCCACCTACAGCTGTGAAATTGAACTAAATACACTCAAACATATTTTTTAAATTTTCTCTACGCAATGTGCTACAATGTCCAAAAATAGTTTTTACAATTTCTTTAATACTGTTCTTACAATAAAAGTTTTAAAACCTTCCTTTTTTGTCAATTCTAAACCAGAAAGTCCCCTTAAGGTAGTACGCTCGCGACAGTCACTCTCAAAAATATATTTTACTAGCATGCTATAGTATGGTGTAGTTACTGTAGCACCTGCTTCAATATTCTTTTGCCTGACTGTACTGAATACATAGCCAGCCCCATGTACAGACACGCTCACACACAAGTATATTAGTCAGGTTAGAAAGTGCGGCAACGTCGCAATTTTGTAGTGCTGCGTAATGTAGGTATACGAAATATATACAGTGAATGAACTCTAATAAGTTGTCAGATGGAGATGCATTTTTCGAATAAACAATTTCGGGAAAAAGGGAAATTTGCAAAAGCAAATGTTTCCAAACACCGAAAAAATGTGTGGATGCAATGAATCTCTCTAAAAAAAATCATGAATTCGACGTAAAGCAAGTGTGCATAGGTCGTCGTGTAGTCGAATTGCAAGAAATTGCTAAAAATTTGAAGTGTTCCAAATGTAAGAAAGTGTTATCTTTGGACAATATAACCCATGAAAAACGTTTAGGTTTAAATTCAATTTTACAAGTTTCTTGTAATTCATGTTTCGTAATTACAAGTGTGCCTACAGGCAAATTTCATTCAACCGTTAAAAATGAACAACATTCTGATGTCAACACAAAAGCTGTCCTAGGTAAATTTATTATTACTTTTATTTATTTTTTTATACTATTATCAATAAGTTTTCATTATTATTTTACGCACGCATGTATTTTAACAGTTAATATTAATTATTTTGTTCTAATAAAGTATCCTCAATTTTTTTATAAAGTGATAATATATACAAATTCCGGTTATTCATTGTAAATAAGAATAGTAAATAAACGTTTGAATTTTATTACTCATACAATTTGTATTTTTGATATAAACTTGATTAAAATATAAATATTTCTAAATATTATATCTACAATTTTATTTAAAGTGATTACATATATGAGTATTAATAATACTTTATTATTTATATTTAATAAAAATTATGATTAATAAAAAAAAATTAATTTTCATAAAATTGTAAATAATAAAACATTCAATAATTTTGAATTTTTATTAATTAGCAATTCAATTCATTTCAAATTTTAATTAATAAAAAAAATTAATCTTAAATAAATATAAAATTCACATGAATTTAATTTTGTAATGTTATGTATAATTATTATAATTTTGTACTGTTATTAAATAAGTTTATTAATTTTAGGTGCAGTTCATTCAGGAATCGGTTGCACGGTGCTAAATAAATTACTAACTACACTGAACATTCCTGCAGTATCCAATAATCTTTTTAAAAGATATGAACGTGAAATTGGTCCTAAAATTGAGGAAACGGCTAAAGACAGTTGTAGATCTAGTGCCAAAGAGGAAAAAAGATTGGTTATAGAAAAAATTGAAGAACTACGGGAGAGAATGTAATCATTTTTTTTTGACACACACAATTAAATTATGCAAAATAAATTTTAAAAGTTAATGATCTCTTTTACTTAACCCTGCAAATAAAAAGTTGTATTTAAAAAAATTTTTTATAATTTTTTTTGTAGGCCGAAAGAAATTTTTGATGAAATTTATCCTCAGTACAGTATTGTTCAACAGTCTATCGCTGTCTCTGATTCTGAAAATCCTGAAAACAACGACGAACAATTTAATAGAGCCATAGAAGAAATTTGTAACATTATAGTCTCTTACGATATGGGCTGGAGTAAAAGAGGGAATGGCCGGAGTTACAACAGCCTAAATGGTTATGGCTCTATTATAGGCTTTCTTAGCGGAAAAATTTTGGATTACGGAGTTCGGAATCGGAAATGCACACTTTGCAACAAGGGTCACGCAAAGAGTGATCATGATTGTCGGAAAAACCACGAAGGAAGTGCTAAAGCTATGGAGGCGAGTGTTGGAGTTCAACTCGTAAATTGGAAGCAAAATTTTAGATGAAGAGGGATTAAAAGTACGAGTTCTGATAGGTGATGAGGATAGTTCGACAATAGCTGGAATTCGTCGAGGAAATTCAGATCACATTTTTAAACTTGCCGATACAAACTACATAAATAAACATTTTAATGGCGATATTATGGAATTAAAAAGTAAATTTAAAGAAATGAAAACGGAAACTGTTCGTCACATCAAAAAATGTTTTGGTTACGCTGTTCATCAAAACAAAGGTAAAGCTAAAGAATTAGCAGATACTCTTCGATCAATCCCAGATCATTTGTTTAATCGTCATGAAAAATGCGGTTCTTGGTGTAAGCGTGATTTGAAGCCGCAAAAAATAATACTTCAAGATTCGAAATTGTATAAGGTTTTAGAAAATATATTCATCAAGTATGCGAACAATGCCTCAAAGTTTTCTGTTGCAGCTTCCAGCCAAGGAAATGAGAGTTTTCATAATATTGTAGCTCATAAATCTCCAAAAAATCATTCCTACAGCTTGTCAGAATCATGCAGCTACCGTGTAGCAAGTGCGGTTGCGACAAAAAACGAGGGAGATAGTCATTTGCTAAATGTAAAAGAAAAGCTGTCATTATCTCCAGGAAAACATACATCTGCTTTTGTTACCAAAAAGGACGAAGTAAGAAAGAAAAGGGCAATAAAAGCGAAATTGCCTGCAACTAAAAGACGAAGAATTTCATTACATGCATCTACAGAATCATCAAGGAAACGAAATGAAAGACAGGAAGGAATTCAGTATCAACCAAATTGCGGGCTTGAAGTTGATTTTGAAAGACCTCACATTGTTCTGGACCCTCTAATTGTAAAAAATAAACTGCAAAATAATCCTATTTCAGTGGAACATTGTAATTTAGTTTACTTCGACTTAGAAACTTCTGGTTTGTCAAAACAATCAGACATTTTACAAATAGCTGCAAAATGTGGAGAAAAATCCTTCGAAACCTACATAAATCCAACACAACCTGTAACTCCTGAAGCCTTTAAAATTACAGGTTTGGAGAACATTAATGGAGATTTATTTTTGTATGGCAAACCACTAACATCTATCCCATTGAAACAAGCGTTAATTAAATTTCAACAGTTTTTGACAGAGTTGAATCCGTGCGTATTGGTTGCTCACAATGCAAAATTTGATGTTTCTCATTTTCTCCAAGCAGTAACTACGTCATCTATGATAGAAAACTTTGATGGTATTGTGGGATTTTCGGATTCTCTAACTTTGTTTAAAAAAGCTTTCCGGATCGAAAAGGTTTAAACATGTTTAAACTAGAAAAATTAGCCGAAGATTTTTTGCAAGAAAAATTAGAAAGTTTTCACGAAGCATGTTATGATGTGAAAATACTCGAAAAACTATCATCTAGTTTTCTAAACAAAAAAGATTTAATAAATAATTGCACCAGTTACACCGATAGTGTAATAAAAAGTATTACCTTGCCATCTCTAAAACCTTTGAAAAAAGTGATATCTGATATTATTATAAAAAAAATTGCAACAGAAGGAATAACATTCGAAAACCTTTTAAAAGTTAAGGCTGACTTTGGTACGACAGGAGTTATTCAATTATTCAAAGAAAAAAAGTCAAACGGAAAACCAAAAATTACGGGCGATATAAGAGTTTTAAATAAGATTAGTCACTTTTTTAATAAATACTAAAATATTTATACAGTATTTTAAAAATACATTATTATATCAATTTTAGTATTATAAGTTGTCTGTTATAATATGATTATTTTAAATCATTTAAAATTTTTAAAAGAAGTTATAAATACGATTAATGTTCTGATATTATTTTTTTTAAAATTATCGACTTTAATATTAAAAGTTGGCTGTTAATAGAATCATTTTATTGCATTCTGAATATTATTAATGCAATATAAATTATCTACTTTCAAAACTTGTTTATAAATATGTATAATTATTTTTTAATCGTTTATGGCCATCGTTCATATTGTTTTAATTTATAACATGTATTGTTAATGTGAAAAAAATATATTTAATATTTGTTAAACATTATAACAATTTTAATTTTACTAAATAAACAACATTTACAACATTAAACATCAGTCCCTTCTTTTTCATTTTTCAAATTTTTCGCGCACTTTTCTAATAGCGTCATAGTGCGACGTTGGCACATGTTTTCGTCAACAGTACTTACCATTTAAAATTAATAATTTTTTAAATACTATATCTTTTAAACAAAACGGTTAATGTTGGTTTATCTTTTTGTTATAAATTTCTCAAACATTCATTTATAATATATTAGTTTTTTAAAACAATGTATAGAAAATTTTAGAAGTTATTAGAAGAAATGTGCCGTTTACATGCACTTTTCATAGGTTAACCATGTTAAATAACAAACTTTGAACTTAAATATCTTGTTTTAGAAACGGTCAATTTTTTTAATATTTTGCAAATACATAGATCTTGTTATTAACTATTCAGATTTCAAATTTCATGAAATTCTATAGAAAAGTGGGTTCACGAGCGTACTACCTTAAGGCCAACGCAGAATAGATCTGTAACCGGAACCGCAATCGTAACCGTAAGCGTAAGAATGAGTTAGAGAAGGATAAACAATATACCTATCCTTCTTTAACTCATTCTTACGGTTACGGTTACGATTGCGGTTCCGGTTACAAATCTATTCTGCGTTGGCCTTTACATGGCGCGAGCACTTTCTGCTAGAATGCAACATAACCTCAAATTTCTGTTGCATAAAGTGTCAAAGGTGTTTGTTTTTATTTTTAAAGTAAAAGTAAATGTTTGCTTGTAGAATATTGTGGCATTTAAAAACAATAATAGTAAAGGATTCTAAGTATTTATATATTTGTAATTGTATTAAATTTAAATATAAATTGATATTGCATTATTATAAATTTCTTGTTCATTCGTTAATTTATACACTTATTTATAAAAGAATTTTTAGTATATGAATGTCTTATTCAACCTCCAAGAAAATTTTTAAATATATTTTAAGTAATTAATCTAACGATTTATCACCAAGAATAACAATAAATACTTTTTTATGGATCAAATATATTATTAATTTCTCTCCATTCGAATTAGAAAACATAACCTCAAACTGGATTTATTTTTTCTTTATTTTTAATTGACCTAGGTCAATTTTCTGTCAGCTGACAGAAAAAATTTACTGATTTTAAATAGGAACTTAATTTTTGCAATTATTATTATTATTATTATTATTATTATAAAAAAATTAGTTAATTTCAAAAATTTTAATGTTTAACATGTGTAACTATTTTTGACACTGTTACTCTAAAGAAATAAATAATTTTTTATGGAAATTTAATAATAATTTATTCTTAAAATTTCCATATTTAAAAAACAATTTTATGCAGAAAATAATGATCAAAATTATTATTAGGCTTGGGATTAAGATAAGGTTACCGTTTTCTGAATTAAAATCTTACCATAACTTTAAGCGAAACGTGTATTAACTCTTCAAATACGTTAAAACTTCATTGTTGGCAGATAATTAGTAAATGTTTTTTATATGTACACGATTTTTTTAATTATATTCGTCAAAAGAAATGACATAGGAATCATTTTTTAATTCGTGAAATAAAGTATTGGCAGGTGAGGTTATGTTCATTCTAGCACTGTGAGCAGTATAACATAAAGATATATCAAAAAATCGAACTCGAAAAATTTTGGCATTACAAAAAAAATAATAATTAAGTAATTTTTTTTAATTAAAGCTTAAAGTATATACTTTAATGATAAAATAAAGGGATTGTTAAAAAATGAAATTTTAAAATTGTTATTAACAATTCTTTAAAACAATTGCAAATTCAAGAATGTTCTCAATATTTTAAGAAAATTAAATTACCCTGTATTGATGTGCAAAACTCTAAGTATTAATTTAAAAAAAATTTCGCCTGTATTTTGTCAGAAAAATCTACACAATTTCTATAATATAGAAGGTTACTGATTTTTCTCTTTTTAAATTAATCCTTAGAGTTTGTACATAATTTTTCAAGTCATTTAATCAATATTTTATTTAGACATTTTTAAAAAATGATAATTTTTAATGTTTTACAAAAATTTTAATGACTTCTAAAATACTGAATGCTTTTTAATGATTTTAGGCTTATTTTAAAGGTGATTTTCTCCAGAATGAGAATTTTTTATAGGCATTAACGTGTAATTTTTTATAGAAAATTCAATTCGTCAAACTTAAATTAAAAAAATTTAAAAATTTTTAAACAATCTTATTAACAGAAAAATAATTATTAAAATATAAACATATGTTTTTATTCAATTAAGATTTAATGTAGGGTTACATTAAGGTTTTATTTTGTGTGTCAAAGGACCAGGAGTGGGCGCGCAACGCGCGCCCTTTTGGTTCTAGTAAACCTTATTTAAATAAAAATGTAAAACTTAGGCTTTAGGGACTAAATCCTATCTAGCGAGAGGGATGTTATAGTCAGCAAAAATAATATCCCCACCTGTATCGTTTCATATTCGACATGAGCTGCTATACGTTTTTGCAACTCAGTCTCATTTCTATCTTTGAAGTGTATTATTAATTTCATTAATAAATTGTCACTCTCAGAAGTGATATAAAATAAACTTTGTCTATTTTATAAATTAGACCATAACAAAGGGTTAAATTTTGAATTTTTTAAAAAAATTCCCACTATTTGATAGAGCAGAAAAAAACCTACCAAAAACATATAGGTCACAATTTTTTTCTTTATTATATAAAAGCTACGATTTTTTATAAAACTCATTGTTTATACTTATCCAAAATCTTCACGCTTAAGAACGTTTGGTGCACATCTTAGGCGTGTTTACGCGAGATCGATATCTGTGCACCTCGAGACAAAAAATTCGATATTTCGGTTAGTTTTAAAGTCTCCAGGGATTATTTTTTTGCAAAAAATTCTGGAGAAGATAACGAATCCAAATATTATAGTTACAAAAAAATCGAAGGGGTGCTTATTCCCGAAAAAATGAAATCAAATTTTTTTTTGACTTTTTTTCCGGGCAAATTTTTGATTTTCTTTTCTTTAATATTGCACTTTAAATTGTTAGATAATCAACTATTATTACCTAAAATATAAACAAAATCTAACTAGATGGATAAAAGTTATTCGTTTTTTAAAAAAAATGTGCTTTAATGTTTCATGCCCGGTAAAATCCACAATTTTGAAAATTTTTAAAAATCTTTTTTTCCTAAAATCTTCTGTCATAAAACACTACCTTTATACCAAGTTTTACAAAAATTGAAAGACCCATGACCAACTTTGATTTTTTTGAGAAAATTTGACCTATTTGCTTAATCTTAGTTTTTCTTAAATAATACCGTCAACAGGGGTGATTACACAGTGCAACAGAATTTCACTTTTTTATTATTTCTGGGATCGCATAGGGTGATTTTTATAGGTTTTTTTGATGCTGAATGCGAATCCGTAATCTGAATAGTTCCATCACCCTAGGTTTTCAAGAAATTTGACCTTGAAAATTAAAAAAAGGACGTTTTTGGGCTTCTTTTCGGTTTTTTATCAGGGTACAAAAATTTTTTCTAAGGTTTTCATGATATGCGTACCAAAGCTCACATCATCCTCAATAATCTCTAATTTGAACATTTTAAAAATATCTATTTTTTGATGAGTTATCTTTGTTTTTATTAAATTATTGTTAAAGAATTTGAAATGATAAAAAAACAATGGTTAATTTATTTTTGATTTTCCTAAGAATGTAATAGTTTCTTTAATGAATCATTGGTTTTTGCTTGAGATTTAATGGGTTAATATTAATAATATTAATATTATGTTAATATTTTTCTCACTGTTATCCGATTTGACGTTACGATGCAAACTTCAAACAAGAATAGCTCATCGAAAAATAGATATTTTTAAATGTCAAGATTGGAGATTGTTGAGAAGGATAGCTTTCGTACGCATATCATGCAAACACTAGAAAAAATTTTTGTACCCTGATAAAAAACAATAAAATACCTAAAAACGGCATTTTTGCTGATTTTATGATTCGACGCGAACTTCAAACAAAGATAACTCATCGAAAAAAAGATATTTTTAAAAGGTCCAAATTGGAAATTGTTAAGGAGGATATGGGCTTTCGTACGCATATAATGAAAACCCTAGGAAACATTTTTATACCCTGATAAAAAACCAAAAAGTACCCTAAAAACGGACTTTTTTCAATTTTCAAGGTCAAATTTCTCAAAAATTTAGGGTGATGGAACAATTCTGATTACGGATTCGCGTT